GAAGTGTCTGAACCTGTTTCTCCAGCTCTGGAGCTTCATATTTCATGGTCTTATTTGCTAGTAACTGGATGAAAACAACATCAGGAAGCCAGTGGATGAACATTACTGGACTTGAAGCTTTGGATCTTGGGAGCCTTTTTGTTGTTCCTTTAGCCTAAAGCAAATTCAGTTGCAAGATAAGAAAAAATAAACATGAATGTTTTGTTAATTGATGTAAAACCAAAAGATTATTAGCTTCAAACAGATTCCTGAATATTTTTTAGTCAAAGCATTTCTGGTTTGGTGAAAGCCGCTCCCCTCCAGAACCTCCTGCTCATCCCTTAATGCGCTGCAGAAGCTGCTCCGGGGCAGATCCGACTTTCTTCCCACTGACTCACAAGAAATGAAATTAGTGAGATCCGTGGAAACGGTAGCGAGGAAACAGCGTTATCTTCGCTCGCTGCTCCGAACACATGGTTGGGATCTGACCTGACGCAGAATGCAGCCAGCCACTGTTTAGCTGGTACTGTATTAATGTTTGCTAAATGATTTTACACCTAGTACACGTCTGTTTCGATCAGCCTCGCCATGTCGAACCCACTGATTCAACCAGAGTGGCTTGAAGAGAGCTAATGAAAGATGCACAGCTTTGCCTGGCTGTCGGCGCAGCTGCAGATCCACGCAGAGAGTTTGACTTGGATTCCTGCCAGGCGTTCATTCATCCCGGTGTTTCCAAACATTTGCCAATAGGCTTCCTCATTATTGTGTTTACAGTGGCTTTCGTCTTTGTTGAAACTATTTGCAGGCTTGTATTTCCACAGGGTTGCACTGACAGCTTCATTAATGTGGGTTACCATGGAGATTTTTGAATCAAACCCAGTTTCTGCAATAGGATATATGTTTTTAATTTTTAGATGTTTTTACAATTCTTTTTTTACATTCTGTGTCCATGAATGGAGGGCATAATGGGTTCATTCAGGAAATGCAGGCGTTTCTTTGCCCAGCAACTCTCCAGCTGTTTCTGGAGGGTCCAAATGTTCCCAGGCTTTGAGAGACATATAGTGACTTTTACAGGAGGCACTATAAAGGGGACCTGTAGTCAAAAAATATGATTTTTTTTCACTTTTTTATACTTCCTTTTGGATCTTAACTGCTTCTAAAAACAGTTCAAGCGCTTAGAAAAACCACCAGGGCACTTTTTGGCAATAAGTTAATGTTTGGTGTCTGGAAAACGAGCCATTTCAAACACCTACCAATCGTTAACGGGCCAGTATTCTGTGTTTTCCAGCCACATAGCGCCATTTTATGGCACAGTCAAGTAACTATTTTACCTTCAGTTGTAGAAATGTTAATTTGACTTGGTGATTTGAAATTGGGCTGCTGTCTCTTTAAAAAGGTCCTGGTTTTTCTGAAAATCCACCTTCAGGAAGTCATCATAACATAACTTTCTAATGGAGGAGCTGGTTTCACTGAGAAGTAGCTTCTATTATAAGCTCAGCAGTTCCACCAGGTGTTTGCTAATTGCTGCTGGATAGTCTGAAGGAGCCAAGTGGGGGAGCTGCTTCTATGAGGGGGGAGCTCAGAAGCTAAGAAACTGCGGCTCCGAGGAGGAGCTTCGTCCCAGAAGGCGGGGCTTGGTCCACCCAGGCGTTTTGCACAGCTGAATTGTTGCCATGAAGATGAAAGAATTTCTCAAAAATGCATGAAAGAATGAGAGAAACGTTTCAGCAACACTTTATAAAGCTAAAAAAAAGTCAATTTCACATAATATTTAATCTTCTGACTGTGCACATCTTACCTCCTAACTGTAAGAGATTAAACTTTTATAATGCCATTTCAACCAGTGGATGTGACTGTGCACAAGATGTGGGTTACCTTGCAACCCACATCTGCAACTGCAATCTTGGTTGTGCAGGAGGTTCTACTTCTGCTTTTCAAAGATGTAGAGCTATGCAACCTGCAGCAGCTTATTTGGATTTAAAGTGAAAATTTTAAACTTTTTTTCCTTCACTATAATCAAGTATATTTCTTCATGCCCACCACAAAATGAGCGTTTTCACGTTTTAGATTTTATAGTTTCCAGCTCAAAGCCAATTCAGAGAATAAGGAAGAGACAACTTGAAAGACTTGAAGCCTTGATGAAGCTTTTAGCTATTATGTGCCATAAATGCAGCTGGTGATGAACGTAATTCTACACTGCAGCTAAAAGGAATCACCACTGCACTGGAGTAACTCGTAGAGAAGCAAACACAAAACCTCTCCATGTATTTACACTATTTCTAATGCAAATATGTTAGTACATTGAACAAAACTAAACTACAAGGAACTTTTTAGCAAGATTTAGGAGTTCGTTTTAAGTCAGTAATTCCTTAATAGTCATTTTAAAAAATCACTGGCAGATTATTTCACTTATAACATGGGAGAAATTTATTTTATCAGTTAGTCTGCTATCACTTTTTCACCAATATTAGAGAATTATTCACTCTAAAAACGCTCATATATTTTGGTTTTGTCTTTGTGAACAAATTTCTAAGAAAGAGACAAAAAAAAATCTTAGCTTCTAATATTTTTATAAATAACCATCTGGACGTTCGTCTATTTTGAATAATTTTCTTATCTCTTGTAGATTTCATGGCGGGGAGTTGATGGAGAAGTCTGAAAATATTCTGTAATTTGTCTGATGATTATTTAACCACTCAGTGAAACACATAAACATCACATTTTAATGCTCCGTTGATCAGATGATTCTTATTCATGGGAAAAACTAAATGTGAAAAAGTAACTCGCCTAATTCTGACCTATATTTTTCTTTATATTCCAGCATAGATGGGAATACAGAAACAGTGTGACTGCATATTAGTAATGTTCAAGTTTCACTGAATCTCAAAATAAGCTCTTCAGTCTCAGTTTCAAATTCTCTATCAGATCCTTAGAAATGAGATCTTAGTGTCTCGCTCTCCTCTTCGTGTTTATTGTGTTTTTAAGTTGTTTATTTGTTTCTTATCCAGACTCACTGACACAACCTGGCTCATAATATCCTCAGCTTCAATCTGCCAGATGTCGAAGTCGGCTGTAGAAGAGGAAAGCTCCTGTTAATCATGCGTCTCGGTGCAGAGCACAGCTTTCCGCTTAATTATTTATTTATTCATTAAACTTTTACCTCCAGCTTATGCTGAACTGTAAGAGATTAAACTTTTATAAAGTGGATGTGTAAGCAGCCACTGGTTGATATTCCAGGATGTATTAACTCTGACACAATGACTGCTTCTTGTCTTCTGTCCAAATTTAGCCACAACTATCATAAACTCTGAGTCTGTAAGGCAACCAGCTTTTTTGGTACAATATTGTGCTTCCTAATAATAAAATGTAATCTTCAGTTTCTTGCATAAAGAGGATTTAAGACATAATTGTCTGTTGAAGACACAAATGATCCTGTTGAAACTCATTCAGTTCCAGGCAGAAGTTGACAAACAATCATCATGGGGATCAATTTACACCCAATTTTTATGGATGTGCCAATTTATCTGGGGCGATTTCCTTCATTTTGGGAGAACTGCTGTGAAGATCACGTTGATCTTTGCCAATTCTTACTTGCAAGTTATTTTATAATGGTAACATCAACAATGTGTCTCCATTTATATGGTTGAACTGGAGAGGAGATTGTTTAATAATTGCAACAGTACAAAAAAAACTTTAGTAATTTGTTTTTGTGTGTTTCTACTGTCTGGAAAACTATAAACAGGATTTCTTTAAGTCAAGGATAAATTTAAAGCTTCCTTTGATAAATAATAACTGAAGCACCATGAAGTCTGTTTTTCAAGCTTCCATTGTTTTTCTTACTTTGCCACTAATGTTGTTTTTCTTCTAAACAGATGAAACCATTTTAATTCCCTTTTTGCTGAAGATACACAAATAAACATGTAGCACAACCAGTTTAAACTTGTTGCTGACAATGGATGGGAGCTTCTTCTGTGACTTTGTGAGGCTCGCTGCCAGGCTCTGGTATAAATAGATTAGTTGAACCACAGAGCTGGTAAATTCAGAAATCAGCTGCTGCATTTGAAGGACTTCATTTGCTCTCTCTGCACCTCTAGCATGTGGGGAAGCTCTAAAAATAAACACGGCCTGTTTTTACATCCTCACTAAAAATAGCAGTCCTGTGAGAAGAGAAATCCTTCGTACACACCTTGCAGGACGTAACTTTTATGAAAGAAAATAAGGTTTATAGATATCTGTTAAAATTGCCATTGGTCAGAAACTTTCTGCTAAACTACAGCTGGTTCACCACAACATAGCCTGAAAATGCTAATGCTAGTTAGCATAGCCACCCATGATGGCAGATAAACAGTTTTCCTGTAACTGTAAGTTGTTTTTCCACCATGAGCATATTAATCACCGCGTACAGGAGGTTGATTAACAGCTATAACATTTTCCTCACAACTGTACAACTCTATGTGAATAATTAGATACTTGAGTTTCCTTCAATAAGTGCCTATTTTAACAGTTGAAACACCAAATATACCCTGTTATGCTTGAAAACAGCACAATGTTGCTGTACCAGCACAGATACACTTAAAAATAGACTTGGGTGAAATTTTCAGTGAGGCCAGCCCATCCCAACAGATGCAGACGAAGCAAAATTGTCCTAAAATGGAGGCCATCTTTCATTAAGCTCATTTTGTTGCTTTCAACTTAATTTGTCAATAAAAATACAACAATTCAGTCAGTTTTACTGAAATAAGTTGGGAAATAAAACCAAAGTTTATTAAGTGATCTACAAACCCAGGTATTTTCTTTCGGCATTAAATTATATGCTTTTTTATATTTTTCTTTAGCTATAAGGCAGAATCATAAACATGAACAAAATTATTTATTTTGTATATTTATACAAAATAAACAATTATATATATATGAAGCATATGAGCTTTAGTTTTTTCGTTTTTGAATCAGTTAAATGCCTTTAATTACCTGGCTTGTAAACGCCACGAAACGTGCGTGCTTACGTCATTACGCCTGTAAAACAAATTCCAGGGCGAAGTCGGTGTTTGCGTTGAAGCCGCTTCTCCCCGTCGAGCCGTGTTTCCCAGCGTTTCTCCGCCGTCGCTCTGAACCGTTATGGACGACCAGGGCGTTTCGGTGAACGAGTCCAAAAGGAGAGATCGCCAGACCGGTGAGGCTTCGGTCCGTTTTCCCGACCTGCCGTTAAGACGTCCGGGTCCGTCTTAACGGCGGTTTAACGGTTTTCAGGATGTTGCCTCGGCGACATGCTACCTTCCATCTCGGTTCATTTCTAGAGTTTTCCTTTCACACGATGCTAAAGGTGGTGATATTTTAACAAATGAACCAGTGGACTTAATTGTTAGCTCAGTGCTAAACAACGTTAACAGCCGTTAGCTGCCTGTCGTTTCCCCAAAATGGAAAAGCGAAGTTGTTGTTGTTTCGTACTAGGAATTAAATGTGCTCTAATATGAATAACATATTGGTTGTTTGGACTTATTTAAAGTGAAGGAAATAGGTGTGACTGTGTATCGTTTATTTATATGTGCCAGACTACTATTATTAAAATTAAATGGGATTAGCGTTAATGACGGGTGGGGTCAGTTTGTGTTGTTTCTAATAATCAATATTGATCGCATTAGAAACGGCAGCCATTTAAACCCAGAGTCACTTTAAGAGTGCCAATGCAAAGCGGCATCAGTTTCAACGTATTTGACGTTCTAATTTTCTGGCTACTTCCCCATCATCCCGCCGCCATTTTGTTCTTTCACAGTTTTGGTCGTTTCGTACCTGCTCGGACAGCAGATGTTAGCATTTATATGGAGTACATGAAGTACACACATATTTTATTGTCCTTCAATGGGGATTAATTCAGGTGTAGCAGCAGCAAAGTGACAGGTAGAGGATGCATGTAGGTTTACACAAAGACAATACTGTAAAAATACGACAAAAGTAAGAAAAAAACTACATAGAAATAACATCGAATTAATGTGCAACTGATTAAAATAAGTATATGCATGCGTATTTTTGCATTAAAGAACAAACTATTTCCAAAAAGTTAAAAATAAAACACCAGCAGGGATGTAAACACCCACTAAATGTCGGTGGTAGCTGCCGGAGGAAGGGGCGCCAGAAACATTGGAGCATTCTTTAGAACAATGATGAAAAAAATATTTTATAGTCAACATTTTCTGCATTTAACAGCCGTCTGTGTATGTGTTAGTAATGTGATCAATAGTGGAGGCAGAGGCACTGCATTGATTAGAGTAGTCATCCCTCCTGGGTAGAAAAAAAACCAGTATTGAAAATGTTACAGGGAAAACAAGGTTACTCAAACAGGTTGACAGACAGAAGGTAAGTTATTTCAGTGCATAATGGAGAGGCATGTAAATATTGTAGATATTCAGGTTAGCTTAAGCATCTCATAAAATGAAAGGTCACTGTTGTCCTGCCATAAGACGAGCATTAATATGAATAGTAAAGGATCTTGTTTGTAGTCATTTGGTCGTTTAGACTATATGGATAATGAATTATAAGTAAGATAAATGATAAAACTCAGGGTCTCCCCCAGGGTATTATAAGCCTGGCGGCCCTCCAGGCTTTACTTGTGCCCCACCAGGCTAAGCATTAATATTTATTGAAGTCTTTTTAAAATGTTTGCAACCTTGGAGCTTGGCAGAGATAAACTTGTGTTTTAAATATCCTCACTCATTATGACGCTGCATTGGTGGACACATACCTAATAAATCTGATCACGTTCACTGTCCAGTCAGTAACTGTTATTCAAAAACAGATAGTAACTTATGTTTTGTTATATGTGGGTGACTGCTCTGTGTTTCAAACCCACTTAACATAAAGTTCATGTCATTCAGCTGTGAGGTTGGAGAAAAAGGACAGGAAGAGAAGAACCAGGACAGACAGGGAAAAGCAACAGGTTGGTCTAGAATTAGGCATTAGTGTAGGAACAGCAAATTAGTCATTTATAAAATATTATTTATTTTCAAAAGGTCAATAGCATGATTTGTAATTTGTTCATATCTATAAAATAATCATTGCTTGATCATATGACTATTAATTTATGACACAATGTTTTTGATTTTTATGGAGTTGATCCCCCACAGTAACGTCAAATAAATAGAAAGCTTATGATTAAGTCAGATTTATACACCTTAAATTTCTCAGCCGAGTGTGGAATAACTTTAGTTTGTCATAATCTGATCTGAGAAGGTGTCACATGTGAGCCTAAAAATTAAAGCTGACCACATCAGTTTCAATCCACATCAGGGGATTTTTCAATAAAAAATCACCTGAAAAACAATTTGTGTTGAGTGAAACTAGAGAGAAAACAAAACCAGCACGTTGTGAAGATGCTGGTTAATGTTTGAGTTTTATTATTCACAGTGAAAGTTTACCAACATGGCCTGAATCAGAAAGGAAGAAAAATCCACAATTTTAGAGATTTCATGTGACAAAAGTGAAACAGAAATCTGTTGACCCTTGTTGTTACATGTGGAGGGAAACGCCGTCCGACCTGCGAAGGTCAGAGGTGTGAGCTTTGGGGTTTGGTGGGTGTTTTCCTACTTGACAAAGTGTTGCACTTCACAGACAGCAGTGAGGATGTATGTGAAAGCAAACCTGGTTGAGTTACAACAACTGGTTCAGGAGGGACAGGTCCAACCACCAGCAGGCTGCTGGGAAGAAACCCAAAATGCCCCACTCACATCCTGCAGTTTAAAAGTTGAGTAGATGGATGAGGATTTCTGAATTTAATTGTCAGTGTTTTCAGATTGCTCTCCTTCCAGACGTCGCCATTGTGACATATTCAGACTTTCAAAAAATCAAAGCGTATCAGGATTTCTGTTCTAATGTTTTAATCAAATAAAGCTTTAAGCAGAAGTCATTTCAGTCATACTTCATGGTGGATACTTTAAATTATTCATGTTCACTTTCAGAAATTATGTCCACTGTTTACATTTTTCTAAATTCCAGTGTGTTTCTGTTTACCTCCAGTAAAATGAAACCTGCTGGTCTCTGGTTTCTGCACTAGCACCCTTAAGATCTGCTGGGCTAGTGGCAGGACAGTGTTTTGATTTGTGTTTGGTTTACTTTGCCTGTAGGTCCGGGCCGTTACAGTTCGCAGGATGTTGAAGGTAGGGATCTGATCCGCCATCTGGGTGAATGTCGTCGTCAGTAACCATGAGTGTCTGGGTTTGGCTCTGCTGTGACAGGAAACCCGACTAACCCGAACAAACAAATGCTTTAGAGGTGTTAGAAAGAGACAACATTCATGACTTGATTACAGAGAATGTTTGGTGATAAGCTGATAAATTGATGACTGTTTCACAACATGTGTGCGTACGTGTGTGTGTATGTGTGTGTGTGTGTCTTCCTCCCAGCTCTGGAGAACTCGGACTCTGGCATCGGCCTGTGCGGCTGGCTGCTGGTTGGACTCTCCCTCATGCTGATGCTGGTCACTCTCCCCATCTCCATATGGATGTGCATTAAGGTCAGCGGCTCATTAATTAAGCAAACAGATCTGGGTGAAATGGACTAAAAGGTTTATCACCACATTATAAAGACTGTAAAGACGACTGTATCACTAAGACTGTGTCACAGTAATTATCGCTCCTAAAAACAGACCCCTTTAAAGCGCTTCTTGGGGAGTTCAGTCATGCAAAGAAGTGTGATTTGTGTCACTACCCTGCTTTTAACCATCTTCTTTTTTTGGATTGTCATGGAACAAAAAGTGGAGAAAATAAACTATCAGAAAATATGGATAGTTTGGGGGAATTTTAATTTATTGGAACAACGCTAAATCTAATTAAAGACATTTAATCTGTTAAATGATAAAAGTCCTCCGCAGTGATGTAATGGAGGAAACCATTCTGACTCAGCTCATGGTATTGTGTGTTAGCTCCTCAAAGTTTCTTGTAATTGGAGCCAACAGTTGTGTATTTACTGTAAAATTTTACCAGATGAACAACATGGCCGACCTCCCCCTACTGCGTCTGAAAACAGTCTGCAGGACGTTTTGTGCTGCTGTTCAGTGATTGGTTTACCCTGAATATGCTGCTGTTCTGTGCGGTTTGTGGTTCAGTCGGGGTCCCACAGCAGCGTTTACACCAGATTAAAGTCTGAACTTTGATGGAGACGCTTGAACATCTTGATCCACACAATGTTTCCAGGACTATTGACCCGGTTTGGACCGAACTCCAGACTCTGAGGAGTTCATTGGGTCCCATCATCCACAGGACTCTGATCCAGATGTTTTGCCAATTTAGTTTTTTTTAAAGCTCCTCCAGCCGTTCCAAACTCAGCGTCTTCATCTGATTTCTAATCATCCTGTCATAAACTTTAACCTCTAACCTGCTAACTAAGTATTTTTAGTCTCATTTCTAGTGTGAATATCGTAGACCACTTGAAATAAAACTAACTTACAAGTAACTTATCAGCAATTTATCGGATCTTGAAGAAGTTCTAGCTCCATTGGTAGATTATTTCACTCATAACATGACAAATAAAATAATCCGTTTCAAGTCAATAATTTCTTATTATTGGTGAAAAAATTGTTTTTATTGGCAGATAAAGTTACTTATAACAAGACAATTTATAAGTGAAACAATCTGGCAACAGAATGTTATCAATATCAAGGAATTGCTTACTTAAAACAAGCCTCTATATCTTACTGATAAGTTACTTTAATATTTAATTTATGTGCAATAAGATATTTGTACCAGAGACTAGACAAAATCTACTTGGTAAGTCTTTACTAAGTAGTTTTTACAGTGCAGCGTCTGAGACGAGCCTCTGGTGTTGAAGTTTCTTTAAACTGATGAATTTGTTGATTTTCACTCCTGGAGACATTCCAACTTTCCCACCTTCCTGGAATCTCTTTCAGCCAAATATTTGGGTTGAAGTTGTTCCAAAATGGCCGTCTAACCCTTCTGGACGGCTGCGCAGCAACATTTGATCTCCGGCACACCAGCTGGTGATCAATTAATCAATTGATTTATTCAGGATCTCCTGCTTTGTGGAAAAACAAAGGACTCTGTAGAGGCGCTCACTGATGATGATCAGAACCGGAAGATCCTGGTGGTTCTTTTCTGTCTAAGATGGATCACAATATATACATAGTTAAGACTGGGTAAAAAAAGAAGAACCATATATGAAATCAGCGTCTCTGTATTACCATGACTGTATTTATTGTGTTTTTATTTATTTGTTTCCGCTGTTCAGATAGTGAAGGAGTATGAGCGAGCCATTATCTTCCGCCTTGGGCGCATTCTGAAAGGAGGAGCCAAAGGACCAGGTAAGTCTGGTGTAAACGGCTCTTTACTTCAGATAAACGCCTCCGGTTCTCACATCAATTCATTTGACTGAATAAATAATTTAAACTTATTTTTAGCTCCAAAGATATAAGAAGAGACTATTTGGTTAAATCAGGATGAACAGCTGCGTGTTTCTGGTGAATCATGTGGACGGACGCATCCAATCCTTCATTAATGGACGTTATAATTGAATATGATCATGATGTCCTTAATGGTGCGTTCACACTGAATGCGTTTTGAGCATCAGGCCTGGCGTGATTTGGAGCGTTTGACGCATCAAGAGCATCCAGCGCAGAGAGCTGACGTGTCTGGCGCTCCTCCACGCAGGCGAAACGCGTCTATGCATAGAGCAAAATGTCAAGCGTCTGCATTCAAAGTGCGTCGGACGCGTTTGTCGTGAACGCACCAAAATGCTCAGGCTTGTATCAAGCCAATGAACGCTGCAGACATCTGTCCGTCCGTCCCTGTGCAGCGCCGCAGTTCTACCAGCAGGGTTCAACGTGACCCAAACATTCTGTTCCCAAACATTTACTGATTTGTTTTCTTCTTGTTGTGTTTACACAATGACGCCTTCAGGGTTTGGTAAAAACTTATTCATGTTCTTGTGATGCCACAGGGTTGTTCTTCATCTTACCGTGCACTGACAACTTCATCAACGTCGACATGCGAACCATCACCTTCGACATCCCGCCGCAAGAGGTACGATGCGCTTATTTTACAATTGATTACTGATATTTTTATGTGATTATGGCTTAGGAACTGAATTTACTTACTCTATTGTGAATTAAATTGCAACACAAAGCAAATAAAAATAATTTTTAGTGTAAAAAAGTTGCTTTGATGGACACAGTAACAGCTACCCCTGTCTGGCATCAATGAAAACACAGCGAGGGTCATTTTGAAAGAAACAAGTTGGTTACAAAATGATTTATCCAAGTGTATTAATGGAAGGTTTAGTGGAAGGAAGACATGTTGCGGTCAAAGGTGCAGGTTTGATAGTGAAGCACTATATGTCTGGGCGTGGCGGTTCTTCAAGCTCTTACTCCGTCTACAGCTCACCAACAGAGAAGCACACTGGTGATAACCTCCATTCCTTTCCTACTCCACTTTTCCTTCCACTAAACTTTCCATTAATATGCTTTATCAATATTCCTCTAGCTTTTGTGGAGAGTCCCTGCCAGATAATTATCAGTTTTTCCCACTGAAACAAAACATTTCTTTATTAAAAATCATTTTCATTGGTCTGGTGTTATAACCAAAAATGAGAAGCAGAAGTAATTCACGGTCAAATATATGAGAATTTAACCGTGAATTACGGTTTTTGAATTCAATTACTGAAATGATTCAATGTTTCAGTTGAATTCATTTGAAAACGTTCCCGTTCTGTCAGGTTCTGACTAAAGACTCGGTGACGGTGAGCGTTGACGGCGTGGTGTACTACCGGGTCCAGAACGCCACCCTGGCTGTGGCCAACATCACCAATGCGGACGCAGCCACCCGGCTGCTGGCCCAGACCACCCTGAGGAACGTCCTGGGCACCAAGAACCTGGCGGAGATCCTGTCCGACCGCGAGGAGATCGCTCACAGCATGCAGGTAGAACGCACAACCCCTCCACCGTTCATCAAAAATGTTCTAAATGAGGTTTTTGGGTTTAGCATTTACACATTTGTTAAATTTAAAGTAATTCCTTATCAATAAGCTGCAGTATAAAAGTGAAACCTTGTCTCCTCCTTCAGCTCTGGCCATTAGCAGAACATCAGCGCCTCTGTGTGTGGGAACTCTCCTCTTTATGCTGCTTGTGGTTTTGCTTGATTGGTTGTTGAGGTTTTGCTCTGAGTTTCCTGGAACCTTTTTGATCTGATATTAGACTGATGGAGAAAAAGTACTGGGAGGTCCAGAGCAGAAAGAGGCTGTCGCCCACATCCTGTCAGAATCAAACCAGCAAGGTCCACCGAGCCAGCAGCTTGGTTTTATACTGAACTTTACGCATGGCAGACAAGAAGATCATAGCTACAGATACATCTTTATTAGTTTAACTGTATCATTATTATGTTGTCTTACACGAGTGTGATGCTAACATCACCTTTAACTCAGACCATTCAGTTAGCTTGAGCTATTGAGTCCAAATGAGTTAGAAAGCTACTGTTAGCGTAAATGCTGTCTTTGTCATGTTGGGGGGAAAAACTAATTCAAACAGTTCAGAAAGTCAACTTTGGCTTTTGCAAAAAAGTTCATGTTACCTCAGTGTTGCACTCAATTTCTCACAAATGTAATATTAAAGCCACAGAACTGTCAAAAAATGATAAACGCTTAAAACTCTTTGTTTGCTTTCAAACTACATCCTCTAACTCTGAGTATTACAGGAGCTTAAATGCTTGAAACCTGATCAGTGAATTTAGTCTTACTGTGTAAATGAGTCTCAGGCTTTTCTTGTTAATATAAACTTTTTTTTCGAATTATGTTTGATGCTTCCCGGTGTGTACATCTCTGGGGGTTTTATGTCTGTTTGGATGTTTTAACCTTTAGCCTCTGTTTGTATGACAACTGCTTCATAAATTAAGTATGATTAATCCCACCGCCCGTGGACCAGAGCACTTCCTGTGTGAACGCTCAGAGAGAAAACCACAGGAGTAACTGTTTTGTTTTAGAATAAATATGTCGTACATGAGGTCCTGGGTTCAAATCCCAGCCTGGCGTCTTTGTCGGTTGTCTCCGGCTTCCTCCAACTGTTGGGTTGCTGAACTGTGAGATGGACCAGTCAAAGTTTTCCCAGAATGGAGCCCAGAGATTTCCTCCCAAGATGCAGGGTAGCAGCAGGCGGCTTCTCTGAAGGGCTCCACCTGCTGGACGATGTTTGATACTACGTGGTGTGTCCGTGTCTCTGCTTCCAGTCGACTCTGGACGACGCCACAGACGACTGGGGGATCAAGGTGGAGCGCGTGGAGATCAAGGACGTGAAGCTGCCGGTGCAGCTCCAGAGAGCCATGGCGGCCGAGGCGGAGGCGAGTCGCGAGGCCAGAGCCAAGGTGAGGCGGAGCGAAGCGCCGTCAGCCAGGCGCCATGTTTCATGTCTGATCCAGATCCAGGCCCACTTCCTCTGAAAACAGTAATGGATCTTAATCTGTCTTCACAAAACGGTTACATCATCAATCCTAATCCTGCCAAACAACAATTAGATCCTGACTGAGGAAAGAACGGATTGGGATTTAATATAAGGTTCAGGAAATCCATTTAATGTTAGTAAAAATATTCTCTATAAATAATTAAGCAGGGGTTATAATCAGATCAATAACAGAAAATACATAAATAATACTTTAAATTGATCCACAAAAGTTGTCATACTAATTGTCTTTTTATATAATGTAGGGCCATGTAAAAGACTGATTCATTGCTCAGAGAAACATTTAGTGTTAATTAAAGTTATTTTTATCATTATGATCAATGTAAGGAGAGAAACTCTGACCCACAAGAACAAAGTGATCTTTGCGGCCCGTTGAGACACATAACGTTCTCCTAGTCAGACACGGTGGTGGCAGCATGACGGTCTGAAAACGCTCCACACTAAACTGATTTTGCCAAACTGCTCCTGTGGCGTTTACAATAATACCAGGACTTTTAGTGTCTGTTGTTCAGAAACTTTGGGTTTTTTTAGTTCCTGTGAGATGAAGGCTCTCCTCCTCTTCCTCCTGCAGGTGATCGCGGCGGAGGGTGAGATGAACGCGTCGCGGGCCCTGAAGGAGGCGTCCCTGGTGATCTCTGAGGCCCCGTCGGCTCTGCAGCTGCGCTACCTGCAGACCCTCAACACCATCGCCGCCGAGAAGAACTCCACCATCATCTTCCCGCTGCCGATGGACATGATGCAGAGCCTGATGAAACGCTGAGGAAGAACGCCGCCCTCACACACACACACACACACACACACACACACACACACACACACACACACACACACACACACACACACACTCCCAGTCGGTCCTGGCGTTGTGACATGACTGTTTCCCCAGATTCGCTGTCTGATCTCTCCTGCCAACATCATCAGTAACTCTCTGAAGAATCTGAATTAATGCGAGTAACAACAACATTTAATGTCCCTTTGGGATCAATAAAATGTTTTTGAATTTGGATTTCCAAAGCCGCCATGACAGTGGCGTTGGCTGCGGGTCACACAACTATTAAATCCAGTATTTTAACTTTAGCAGGTCAAAACCAGAGTTCCCAGTAGAGAAAGTGCCACGTTAACTGGTGTTGAAAAACAAACTTTTGATTCGTCGCTTTCAGTGCCTTGCCAAACTGTTCACTCCTCCTCTTCCTCATCTGTTCCTCGCATCCACAAACCCTTTGTTACGATTTCATTAAACACTGTAAAAACACAAAATGTTACCAAGTATTTTTGATTTAGTTTCTACAGTAAATGTAGGACAAAACCAACTTTCAAGTAACTTTTAAGCAAGAAATGGGAGTTTGTTTTAAGTAAACAATTTCTCAATATTGATAAAAATTTGTCCAATTCCATTAGCAGATTATTTTACTTACAAGATTTTATTCTTGTAAGAGAGCCAAGGTGAGGTAGAACTGGTAGAACTTCTACTTCTACCAGTGGAAGTAGAAGTTTTTAATCAATATTGAGGAATTATTGACTTAGAACAAGCTCATATTTCTGACTAATTTGTAAGTTAGTTTTGTCTTATTTCAAGAGTATTTGAAATAGAACCTAAAATACTTGGTCTGATTTTGAGTTTTTGCAGTGTACGCTGGCGTTTAATCATGAAGCGGAAGACAACTGGAAGGTCTGAAAAGTGTGGCATGCATCTTTCTTCACCCTCACCCAGGGTTGTCTAGCTTCATCCAGTAACTGAACATCTGTAGAAAATGACCCCACAGCATGATGCTGCCACCGCCGTCTGTTTACAGATCACTTCAGAAGCCAACTGACTCCTGGAGGACGTAACGAACGGATTTGGAAAATGGATTCAATTTAGGGGAGAATACAGATGAATGCCACACTTTTCAGATCTTTCGCCCTTCCTGTGTAATAGTTTAAGTATAAATAAACAACATGGAGGATGGGCAGCAGTTCTCCATGTTGAACTGCATTTATATTCCATAAATTAGCTAATTATTATCCATTTATACAATGAAACGTTTCCAGTATGCAGGCTGGATTCGGACGCTTGTTCATAGATACTAAGAGCTTTCGATCAACCCAGAGTACCTGAAGTATTTATACTCGCTGATAGATTAAACCCAGAGTATAACAGTTCATACATCAGTGGTGCCTTTCATTTGATCTAACCTTCAGTTTTCTTACTTTTTACAAAATCAGGGGCTACAAACCTTTCAGCCAGAAGCCTTAAGTCACTGCCGACCTCTCACCTGTTTTTTATTCTCCTTCTGTCTGCTGGGGAGAATTTATTTATATTTTTAACAAACCAAGCACCCGTTTACCTTTCATATTAACCTGTGACGTATAACATGCATCCCTGTTTGCTCGACTGTTTGTGGTTTATGCATCCCGTAGGTTTAGCTCTTATTTAATACACAGATCAGCCATTACATTATGACCGCCTTCCTGAAGTAGCAGCCTCCGTTTTTCACCAGGATGCTTTAGTGGATTGACAAAACATCGATCTGAACTGAAGTGGTTTTCCTTTCATTTGGTGTGAATCCTGGGGGGAGTTGGGCCACGCCCACCAAATGTTGGTGGATTAGAATCGATCATAGCAAGTTTGGTGCCAAACATGACAACGGCGTCATGTCTGACTTCGCCTTCCTGCCATGGCAACGCCCTCCAGCAAAAACTATTAGAACTTTAAATCCAGCGAGAGCAATTTTTAATCTGTCCTCTGACACAAGATCATGTTGAGTAAACCAAGAGGGTCAGAGATTAAGCTTTTCCAGAAAAACAGTGGCTTCCTGTTGTGAGGGGGCGGGACTTAGATGATGGAGCTTTTGGCCACATCGGATTTTTGGGCAACTGAGACGGATCTTTCTTACAACTTCGGTGTAATGGAGTCTGTGTGAAAGTTCAGTATGTTTGGCGAGAAGACCAACTTTGAGGCTTGGCTGTGCCCCTCTGACGCTCACAAAAAACCAAACTATTGATAACTTTAATCCCCAAAACCTTCAGAACAAATTGACCAAGTTGGAAGCCAATACCTCCAAATCCCTAGGAGGTCATTCAAGTTTATCATGTTTTAGCATGGAAAGTTAGAAATGACCCTTTGATCCAAAATGTCCAACTTCCTGTTTGATTTAGGGCATTTTGGATGGTTCTACCAAGTCTCATCTCTCTGTGGTTTTTACCAGTTGGCCAATCTAAGGTTAGTGAGCACCATAGAGTCGTTTGGCCACGCCCATTTTAAATCATTTTAAATTCCATTAAAGTACTGCAATTTCAGTCAGCAACAAATTTGGGTGACATTTAAGATTTCTTAAATATTTAGACCTTTAAATGAGCTCTTCTTTTGTGTCATAATAAGAAAAATGAATTACATCAGGTCTTCCCAGCACTTTCAAAAATGTAGTTTTTTTCACTTTCAACTGTCACTGGTCATAATGTTCTGCCTGATCAGTGTGCTGTTGTAGCACTGTGAAAAGTATCTGTTACGTTTTACTGCTGCATGTTGTTACTGTTGACAACTGGATGATTGTTTCTTTTTCACTGAGTCAAGAAGAAGGAAAGCCTTCAACCTGAGCTCTTCTGCTCCCTGCTGGTCAACCTCCGCACTGTTTTCTGTGATTGTCGACTTTCAGTTTATATTTTTAGGCTTGTGTATCAGAATTTACATGTTTACTGTTTTTAAAAAATACATAAATTAAAAGGATTTGCCAAAAAGACTTTATACAATACCAGATTTGAAGTTGTGTTCCAGGTTTATGTTTGCATTTTATTTTTTTACCTTCATGTTTGCTATAATTTTAAATATAAAACATATACATGACTACTTTAAATAAAGATGTGATCAACAGACACGTTTGTGATTGGTTTGTTTCAGTTCAAAGAAGACAGAAACATGATAAATTTGGTTTATTTGAAAGAAATAATAATAAATGCAGAGAGAAAAGGTACAAACAACATTATCAGAAAGTTTTGTTGTTTACTTGCTCCCAGGTCTGGAAGATTATGATATCACGATATGTTTTCTAATGTATGCATTTTTAAGAACTTAATCGTGAAGGTCTGGCGGTTTACCGCGATATGAACCGACACATTCAGTATATATTGGTATATTTCATTCGTTGAAGCTGCTTCTCCCACCGCACACATTGAAGCGTTTATCCCAGGATTTATCTCGCTTTCTGGGTTTGGACAACCAGGGTGTTTCGATGAATGAGTCCAGAAAAGAAGGCCGCCAGTCGGGTGAGGCTCGGTTCATTTTCTGAGTTTCTGTTTCCGCTCAGCTAACGGGAGTGTTAGCGGTTCCCATGATGTAGCCTGAGCCGAACTGTACGTCTCTGTTTTCTTCCTTCTCGAACGAAAAATGTTTATTTTTAAAGTTTCACCGTCACGTCGTGTTAAAAATTGCGAAATTTTGTCAAATTTAGACATGGCTTCACTTGTTAGCTCAATGCTAAACAACGGAATGCTAACGGCCGTTAGCAACCTTCCTGTCGTTTTCCCAAACAGAAAAGCGAAGAAGTTGTTGTTTTTTGTTGTATAAATTAAGTGTTTTGTAGCAGTAACCATATAACGGGACCAGAGACGATAATCTGAGTTAATCTTTTCTTATATTGATTGATTTATTGACCTTCGGAAAGCTCCCTGTTACCTGTCAAAATGGCGGCTGGTCATTTTACTGACTAAAATTAAAAATCCTTTATTGTCCCACAGTGGGGATTAATTCAGGTCTAACAGAAACAAACCGACTTATGTAGATTCACAAAAAGAAAAAAATATAAATATACAACAATTTTAAGAATAACATACTGTATAGTCAATGCAAACTTGCAAGATAAAATACAGTGCAGGTAGCAAAGATATGGAGCTGTGCAATTCACTTATAGGATAAGAAAATTATCTTTGAGGTTTCTCTGACTATATCTGTAATTTATTGGAAAAACACTACCAACTATGAAATAAACTGATGCAGTGGTTAGAAGCATAAGAACTACATTATGAAAGTCATATGGGCGCTGGGCTAAAGCGGGCGCCAGAAACAATGGTGGGGGGGAGGGGAGAAATCATTTGTAGTTATATTTAATAGTTCCCTGTGCATGTGTAAATTTCATGTTCAATATCATGGCACTGACTAGGCTCGACGCCTCTTCGCTCCTTCACCTTAGAAAAGAAGACTTGGTGAAAGAAAATGAAAGAGGGACAAGGATAAGCTAAAGATATAGAGATAATTAAAAAAGGGAAACTGGTTGAAAAAGAGTTGGTAAATGAATAGGAGACTTGTAAATATTCACGTAATAGGGAAATGAGAGGTCACTGTTTTCCTGCCACTGTTTGCTGAATTTACAACAAATCAGATTATTGCAAGAAAAATGAAAGGAAGGGAGAACAGTTTGGTCTAATATTAGGTGGAAGTGTAAGAAATAATTTAACAATGTTGTTTTTTCTCCTAGTTCTGGAGAACTCAGACTATGAAATTGGCCTGATTGGCTGGGTGCTGGTCGGACTTTCTCTCCTGCTGGTGCTGGTCACGCTCCCCCTTTCCATATGGATGTGCTTTAAGGTCAGCTGGTTATCAAATCTAAGTTAGGCATGTCTTTCAAGCAAACACAAACTAATTTAACTGAGTGATCATTTTTGGTGTTAGCATAAATTTCACTAGTCTGGTAGATTGTGGACCAAAATTGAAACTTTTTTACATGTTAATACCACAGAAAGTACCCTTGTGTTCGATTTATCTGTTCAGATAGTGAAGGAGTACGAGCGAGCCATTATCTTTCGCCTTGGGCGCATTCTGAAAGGAGGACCCAGGGGACCGGGTAAGTCTGGTTTACCACACATAAACGCCTCCGGTTTTCACATTGTTCATTTTCTTTAGCTTATTCTTAACACCAAAGATAAAAATATATTGGAAGGGACTGTTTGGTTGAGAGCTTGGAAGATAAATTGGATGGATTGACAACAGGAGCTAGTCAATAAATTTGTACATAACAGGTCTCAAATACTTTTAAAACATGTAAATTGGCCTTAACTATGCTAATGTATTTAGTTTTTTTTTTTTGTTAGCTGGACTTTTCTGTGCGGAAAAAGTTTGAATAGCAAACTGGTAAATTTGTTCATTTGTTCTACATCTTGAGACGGTTGAGGCTACCGCTAGCCTGATGCTAAAATGCATTAGGTAGGCAGCTTTTTTAAATCTGTCATGGTGGACAACGTTCATTTCTGCCACTGAAGTTTCATCAGCAGAGTTTGACTTGATAGGGTTTCTCATGTTTACAATGGCAAAAGTTATTTACCTTCTTGTTACACCACAGGGTTGTTCTTCATCGTACCGTGCACTGACCTCTTCATCTATGTGGACATGCGTACAGTCACCTTCGACATCCCGCCACAAGAGGTACGACTCGCTTTTCATGCACTTGTGGTATATTTCAAGCATTTATTGATTTAATGACTATGGGTCAGAGCTAATTAAGAAGCTAAATTCAATGTCTAAGTAAGTTAAAAAAGCACAAAGCAAATAAAAACAGATTTTAGTGTTGAGTTAAAAAACTGTTCAATTCATTTGAAAACGTTCCTGTTCTGTCAGGTTCTGACTAAAGACTCGGTGACGGTGAGCGTTGACGGCGTGGTGTACTACCGGGTCCAGAACGCCACCCTGGCTGTGGCCAACATCACCAACGCGGACGCCGCCACCCGGCTGCTGGCCCAGACCACCCTGAGGAACGTCCTGGGCACCAAGAACCTGGCGGAGATCCTGTCCGACCGCGAGGAGATCGCTCACAGCATGCAGGTAGAACGCACAACCCCTCCACCGTTCATGGAGAAATGAAGGTTTGTTGATTTAGATTGGCTACGATTCTCTTTTTTTGTCAAAGTATTGTCCTCTTAAATAATCTATGAAATGAAGCTCTGTTTCAATGTGACGTCACACTTCCATGAACTTTCTAACTGGCAGCCATCTTGGTAGGCAGGTGCTATGGAGTTGCTATGACAACAATGAACAAGCCACAAGGTTAGAGCTAGTTCTCGGCTCGTTCTCATCTAACTTATCAACAATGTTAGGACATTATAACTACTTGAGTACTCTACCCACCTCTGTAATACTAAGATAAAGATCAGTGGTATTTACTGTAGTACTGACGGCCGAGCTAGCAAAATTAGCTTAGCTAATGTGGCTTTTACCTGCTAGCTAACATGGACATGTACTTACCCTGCCAGTCACCAGAAGCTTGTTATTCACAAGTAGAGTTATCGGTTTCGACAGCAACTGTTTTGTTCATGTATCTTTTTCAGAGTGTGCACATATTTTCTTTATGTCGGTCTCCAATCCGTGGGTTCGCCAGGCCTTGTGCTGCCATTGCCTACCAAGATGGTGCGGGCAACTTCTGGGAACTATGAATGAATTAATTAAATTTTTAAACAGGGAAAAGCAGGATTTACACACAACACATTTAACTGGCCATTTTTAAGGTGACATTTAGGCAACAGAGCAAAAAGAGCAACATAATTGGCACCAAGAAAAACACAAAAGTACAATTTAATAGCACTGTGCCAAACATCGTTTTGAAAAGTTAAAGCATTTAAAGAAGATAAGCGACACGGTGACAAGTCAAGCCAGAAAGTTAGTTGTGAATGTTGTAGGTCAGTCTGGACGAAGCCACAGACGACTGGGGGATCAAGGTGCAGCGCGTGGAGATCAAGGACGTGAAGCTGCCTCTGGAGCTCCAGAGAGCCATGGCGGCCGAGGCGGAGGCGAGCCGCGAGGCCAGAGCCAAGGTGAGGCGGCGCGTAGGATGACGGCGCAATAGCGTCACATGTAACGAGTGTGCTCAGTGTTTAGCCATAAGTGTAAACATAGCTTTAGTGTTTTATCTCTGGAAATCTGCTAGCTGTTGTCTGAATCTTTGGTTTCATGTGGAGGTGAAGGCTCTCCTCCTCTTCCTCCTGCAGGTGATTGCGGCGGAGGGTGAGATGAACGCGTCGCGGGCCCTGAAGGAGGCGTCCCTGGTGATCTCTGAGGCCCCGTCGGCTCTGCAGCTGCGCTACCTGCAGACCCTCAACACCATCGCCGCCGAGAAGAACTCCACCATCATCTTCCCGCTGCCGATGGACATGATGCAGAGCCTGATGAAACGCTGAGGAAGAACGCCGCCCTCACACACACGCACACACACACACACACACACACACACACACACACACACACACACACACACACACACACACGCACACACACAGACAGGTCAGGGAGACCTCCTGCCTCTGAAAGCATCTGTTTAGGTTTTAAAACTCATTAAATTGCTTTAACTGAACGATCCAGGAAACCTCAAACCAAATAACACTGACAGCATTTCTCCACATGAGCCACACACTGCAAAAACAAAATATTTACCAATATTTTAGTCTAGTTTCTACTGCAAACATCTAAGTCTAACTTTCAAGTAACTTTCCAGCAAGAAAAAGCAGCTTGTTTTAAATAAATAATTCCTTAATATCCATTGATATTAGTGAAACAATCTGCTGGGAAAATTATTGACTTATAACAAATTGTTTTTGTTATACAAAAACAATAGTTTTGAAAACAAGAAAAACAATTGTTTTTGTATAACAATTCTTATTGTTATACAAAACAATATACAAAAAATATTTTTTGACTTTTTTATACAAAAAAGTCACTGAAAAGTGACTTTTAAGTTAGTTTTGTCTTATTTCTAATGTATGAAGTTATTTGCAGTAGAAACTCGACCAACTGTATTTGTATTTTTACAGTGTAGGAAGATTTTATTTATTTTTAACAAACCAAATACTTCATATTAGTCTATTAAATATAACATAGAACACAATACCTTGGCTGTTTGTAGCATGTTGTGATCAGGCATTACATTATGACCACTTTACTAAAGATTGGGATCAAAAGTAGCGACTTCTGCGCTTCAACTGGATTCTTCATTGAATCGATGAAACGTCCTTCTAACTAAAATGTTTTTCATTTCACTCGCTGTTCATCCTAATCTGGTTCTAGATCCAGGTTCTTTAATCACATCCATTTCTTAATGATGTTCATTTCCTCCCTCGTTGATCCACCTTTCCTGCTCCGGCTTAGAAATTAACTGTTAATATTTTAAATTAAAATCCACATTTAGTTAATCTTATAGTTAAATATCCAAAATGTCATTAATAAATGCTTGAAAAACTTAATTGTTTCTGGAAATATGTAGAATTTGAGAAAAGAAACCCTTATTTCCAACATGAACATTGCATTTTGTTTCACTCCCAACAGTCAGTGGTCATAATGTTTTGGCTGATCAATGTGTGCCCCGGCAGCAAGGTTTAGTCGTTTTCTGCAGGAAGTGAGTGGAAGGAGGAAAACCTACAACAATACTTTACACTCTGTGGTTGGAGCCTTAATAGATAGAAAAACGGAGCAAATTTACGCCAAAAAACCTGGAAATTTTGAAATTAATTTAAGAAAATTTCTGGCAAAAATCTTGAAAATATTTGAGACAAAGCAAGGAAATTTCTGAATAAAAAAAATCAAATTTACAGGAAATTTACTAGAAGATTTTTGACTCTCAGAAATGATCTGAGTTTCAAAAGTTGAACGTTTTTGAGTTTTGAAAGTCAAAAATTTCTACGTTTCATTTTTCTCAATCTAAGAATTTTTACCTACAATTGCCCTATTATGCTTTTGTATTTCTACAAAAATCAAACCCAAACATTAGTTTGTAAAGCTTTCGCCAAAAACCCCTTACACAACAGCAGATCTGACTCAGTGTTTATGCATCTTATTTTTTTTTGCCTGCTTGTTTGCTGTGATTTTTAATTTCAATATTTATTATTTATGAGGACTTTAAATAAAGATGCAACCCACAGAAAAGTTTGTGAGCTGGTTTGTGAATGAGAGATGACAGAAACTTGTTGAATTTGGTTTATTCAAAACAGAAGCAGCTGCATTTTTTTTATTTTAAATTAGTCTGGTTTCTGGCAATAATAAAAAAAAAATACAGAAATGAAAGAAGTCAGCAAACAGGTCCTGTACCTTTAAAACGACAAACTAAATGAGATTAAGGCATCGCTTGTTTTCCTTCTGAGCTATTCAATATAAAATTAGAACAGTCTTCGATAAAAGTGCAAAACAAAACGTCTCCTGTTGGTTCTAATACAAACAAAGGCACTAATGTGGCACTAAGGACAGAAAACAAACTAAAAAACTAAAACAAAGTGAGGTGGAAGCTGAAAACAAAGCCATTCTTGGCGTTTGTTGCATAATGCTTGAAGAGGAAGAGTGGCGATGGCGGTGATTCGCTCACAGAGCCAGTTCTGCCATGGCCCGCTCCAGCGGGTCGCTGGTCCAGTAGTCGTGGTCCCAGCCCAGGAACCAGCCGGTGAACGTGGGCGGCTCGAAGCCGTGCTTGATCTTGACGATGGGGGTCCGGGCGTCTCTGTTGGCCGGGTCGGTCTCGATGTAGCGCACCGCTGAGGGAGCAGAGGAAGCCATCTTTACCGTTTTCATCAGGATTGTTACTCACAGGCTGAATGTTCTTAAAGGGCCGGTTCAGCCAGAATGTATTGATAAAACCAATTAAACTGGTAAAACATCAGCATTCAGTCAGTGTTTCTTGAAATTGTATAATATTAAACATCTTCTCAATCAACATGATAGATTTTGTGGTAAAGATATGTAAAGATTTTTTACAATATTTGCGTTTAATTATCGCCATATTGACCACGGACTGTAACCTGTGGCTGAGGCAGCTGTCTCTTTTTTTGGCCAATTTTGATTTAAAAAATTGCAGTAAAAATTTTGATTTTGTATGAATTTTTCAGATTAGGGAAAACTTGAGGAACTTGATGTAATCTGGAGTCAAGAGGGCCATATATAGACCTACGGCGGGCCAGATTTGGCCCCCGGGCCTCGAGTTCGACACCTGTTATAGCCCAACTTAAAATGGAAGAGTGGTATTCAGAAAAAATATAAAGGTTTTTCTTTTAATAATGCAACAGTTTGAATCCCTTTTTATAGTTTTGAGTCATTAATGATGTGCAGATTTGAAAATATTTCTTATTTTTGACCAGGTAAAACAAAAAATTAGTTTGATTTAACTAGTTTTGTGACTCATCAGTAATTTAAGAACTAGAACTTTTTAAAATCAATATGAGGGAATTATGATGTAAAACAAGCTCATGTTTTTGCTGGAAAGTTACTTGAAAGCTATTTTTATTTTAAGAGTTTTCTGCACTGCAGTCTAGACTAAACATAGTTGGGAGGATTTTGTGTTTTTACAGTGAACTGTTTAGTTTCTGCTGCTAAGGTGTGATTATTCTGCTTGTTCTCACCAGACGCCATGGCTTCGGTTTTTTCTTCCTCCTGAGCTTCGTTCCCGATCCAAACAAACACCTGAAGTGAAAAAGGTTTGGTTCTGGTTACATTTTCATCCTTATTAGCGCAGAACTGATAGCAGACAGGAAGTTCTGACGTTTACCTGCTCCCAGGTGTCGAGGATCATGACGTCATCAGTGGCGAGGTCATCCTGGGTCATCTCCCCGGGAACCTCCTCGATCTGTGAGGGAGAACAGTTGTTGTTTTTGGGTGAACCGAAGCTAAAATCTTAATTAGTTTTTTTTTTCTCTGGACATTGTCGGCAGTTTTAGCATTTTTTTTTGGAAGAACTTACGATGAAGTTCCCGGTTTTATTGGAGCAGGCGAAGAGTCGCGGCGGGTGAGCGTCCATCTTGTCCTTGAGTCTGGTGGAGGTGCGGTACTCTGCCTTCCCGCCCAGAGCGGCCCAGAACTGATCTGGAAAAACAACACGTTGTCCCTTTAAGAACCATTCCAGTAAACCACATTTACTGCAGCTAACGACCGCCTTACGCTGCAAAAACACAATATCTTACCAAGTATTTTTGATCTACTTTATTGTACAAATATCTTAGTTCATTTGAAGTAAGACAAAACTAACTTTCAAGTAACTTTTCAGTGTGAAACAGGAGCTTGATTTAAGTGAATAATTCCTTAATATTGATGAAAAACTTCTAGTTCCATTGGTAGATTATGTCACCCCTAAAATAGGAATTATTTCTGGTATAAGTGAAATAATCTGTCCACATTTACTCAATATTAAGGAATGATTTACTTAAAATAAGCCCCTATATCTGAAAACTAACTTCTAAGTTTCGCTATTTGCACTAGAGGATGATTTCTCAGTAAGGTTTTGTGTTTTTACAGTGGGCTCACCAGTTTCTCCTCCCTCTGAAAGCTCGTCGGACGGCGACACTCCCAGGATGCCACACAGCTGCTGAGCTCCCTGCTTCTCCGTGTCGCTGGCGCCCACTCCCACCCACAGGGTGGCGCCGTCGGGGCTCACAAGAAGGAAAGCGTCATTGGAGTTCAGGTTGGAGGCCACGGCGTCGAGCTGCAGGAACACAGAGAGGCTGAAGGCTAACGGGCTAAAGAAAACACAAAATCTGCTCAGGTTGGGGCGACACAAAAAATATTCATTACAATTTTTGCACAAATAATTCTTAGATAATCAGATGTTAGTGGAATTAGTTCTGCTTGTTTTGAGCTGTTTTCGGGCATCTTGTCACTTTAAATCCAAATAATCTGCTCCCATTCTCAACGTTTACACTTACACCGTACAAATTACTGCAAACAAATGTGTAATTAATTGAAAAGCAGAAGTGGAGCCTCCTGCGTAACAGCAAGAATGCAGGTGTCTGATGGTAAGTCAACAGGTTAAAACTCGCTGACCAAACTTTCTGGAGCTCTGCTTGGGTTGCTAGGTGACGGGCGGAACTCTTCCGGGGTTGCTAGGTAACAGCTGAGTTCCCTGGCTTGTGACTTAACAATCGGAAAGTTTTTGAAATGGCTCATTTTCCAGACACCCCAAAAAACATGAAACAATAACCAGCAGAGTGAATTTTGTTTTTAGAAGCAGTAGAAACTCAAAATGTAAATTTTGGATAATAGTCAGTTTTAATAATAGTTTTAAGTCAGTAAATCCTTAATATTAATGAATAAGTACTAGATAGAATTGAAATAATCTGACTGTGGAATTAGAACTTTTATATTCATATTAAGGAACTATTGGCTCAAATCAAGCTCCTATTTACTGCTGAAAAGTTACTTGTAAGTTAATTTTGTCTTTTTTAAAGTGTAATTAAATATATTGGTGGAACATGAGTCAGACGCATATGAGACAAAATCACACTGCAAACTGTTTAGTCGTTGTTTGCTGACATAAATATATGCGCTCACATCCGTTTCACTGCAGAATTAGACAGATGGTATGAAAATAACGCCACAGAAATGCAGGTTTTATGGCAAACCAATGAAAAGTGAAGGAGTTAAAATACTCAGATCCTTCCACCAGGGTTCCTTCATATTGACTTAAAAGTTCTAGTTTGACTGGCAGATTATTTAAATTTTAAAATTAAAAATTTTTACCATATGAAAAGTGAAATAATTCACATTAAGGAATTACACGTTGTTAAAAAGTAACTTGTAAGTTAGTTTTGCCTTATTTCAATTAGATATTTGCAGTAGAAAATAGATAAAAAATACTTTCGGTTTTTTTTGCTGCACATCAATTCGTAGTCAAACAAGAGCAACTGGTGTTCGGGGACTATTTTCAGCAGCGGATTAATACAGATCTAGAAGGTTTATGGTGCCAGCAGGACGGTGCCTGAAAATAAACTACAGTGTGTCTGTTAATAACGGAGCAGACCTCTTACAGGGCGTTTAATCTGCTCTGAGGCGCAGAGGAATCAGCTCTGCTCCGGCTAAGCAGGCAACACTTGTTAAGGCTGGCGCCGGGCCCCTCCACGGGATAAATCGACTCCAAATAGATAAACAAGAAGCAGATAGAATAACGTCACCACTCACCTCCACGGCTCTGGTGTGCCCCGCAGAGTTGGAGCGCACCTGGAAGAGCCGGGTCTCCGCCGGAGCCGACTGGCCCCCGTCCCTGGACGTCCCCCCCCTGTAGACCACCATGGGCTGGCCGCCGAACAGGCTCATGAGGTGGGCCGGCTCCTTGCCCTGGACCACCCTCACCTGCCGCACAGACAGCAGTGTTAGGCGGGACGCTCAGTTATCCACAGCGACTCATCAAGTGCTGATCAACATCAACGACACCAAAACGATCAGTTAATACAATCATGTTATCCTCTACACAATCACTACTGAGTGCAAACATATGAATGGAAACGTGAGTTGTCATTAATCTCTATGCAAGCAGGTTGAGACTCGATCACTGTTAAAGCATAAGCTTTCCATTTTGATGGAAAGCTTAGTGGAAGGAAAATCTGTTTAAAAAACATCTGCAAATTCAGACTGGTTGGACTCCAAACACTCTGTACACACAAGGTAAGCCACAACATACCACTGCTAAACAAGCTGGCTGTTTGTAATATGAAATAAACGAGTGGAAGGTTTAGTGGAAGGAAAAAGTATATGTATGCAAGCTACAACTATGGCTTAACCGCGCTGAGTTTTCCTTAAAATGCTCCACAAGCAGGCTAAGACTCAAGGATCATCACTAAAGAAGCTGGCTGTTAACCATAGTGCAAGCATATGGATGTAAAGTTTAGTGGAAGGAAAACTGTTTTTAAAAAAATCTACAACTTCTGACTTGACAACTTTTGACACCATCTATATGGAGAGTAAACTACAAAAACCTAATTTATATTAAAGCCAACTCTATCCAAGCATTCATCTCAAGTTTAAAAAAAAGCTTTTCCTTCCACTAAACTTTTCATGACTATGGATCCATATTGGTGAACAGCCAGCTTCTTTAGTGACTCAGCCATCTTGTAGAGTGTTTGATTGATAACTCACAGTTGAATCTTGCCTACAAACATATTTCCACCATACTTTTTCCTTCCACTCAACTTTCAGTTAATATGCTTTCACAGTGTGAAATTTATTTAGGATTTTTTTTTTTGTGACATTCTCTATCAATCTGCAAGCCATGAAGCCACATTTTTATGAGCTGAAAATCAAAATTAAAACGTTTTAATTTCAGAAACTTTTAGATTGTAATAAATAGTTCTATGCTGCAGTTTTT